TCCGCAAAACATTTTACAAAAGAAAAAACAAAAAAAAGACGAAGGAACACTAGAAATCCGATTTAAAACAAAGAAGATAAAACTAAGAATCAGCCCCATCCTTGGAAGAACATTCTGCAAAACCGAATCACCAGAAATCTCGAGGAGATCAAAGTCTGCAACAGACCAATCCGCAACGGCAGCCAGTTCGACGAGCTCTTCGCAATATTTCTTCATCTCTTTGAGACGAGCTAGCTCATCGTCAACGTCCAGACCTCCGCCTTTGATCTTATTCAGCAGGTCGATGTTTGCGACCACCTCCCTTAGTTGGATCTCTGTGTCAACCTCCTTCTTGTCTAGCCACTTCTTCTCCACAAGAGCTAGGATCTCTCTGCAACGGTCGGCAATCGCACAACACATCACGCGAGATTCGCGACGGATATCTCGATCCCTCTCCGCAAGAAACACCGCGACCAGCGTCTTTTGGGTGGCGACCTCGGTCTCAAACACCATCCTTTCTTCGCGAGCCTTCTTGCACTCGCCCTTCAGATAATCGGCCCCTCTAGTCTTGTTCTTCAGATCCTCCTTAACCTTAGGAAGAGATACGCCAAGACTCTTCACCTCGGCCCGCGACCTCGCCAGATCCTTGTCTCCGTGACCCACCAACATCGCGACGAGCTCATCAACAGCGAACATAACCTTTAGAGCAAGAGAAGCATCAGAACAAGCTCGATCGTAGGAAAATACCACGAAATAAAGTATAACTAACCTTGGAATTAGCATCCGAGACCTTTGAATACACCTCCTTTTCCTCATGAGAAGCCGGGGGTAGAACAGAAGGGCCCGAAGCCGACCTATCACAGCTTCGGAGAGATGACCGACAACGCCTATGGTCGCTGGCAGGAGAATCCTCTTCTGAGTCAGCACTCAAAGAGATTGGAGATCCTCCACCTCCAGAAACTCCCTCTACGTCAGAGACATTGACTAGAATCAAAGTCAAATCCTCTGGATCCATGTTTCCCTTAGCACAACTCCGGATTCTGAATGACGACCTCCTAGCTAATTGTCTGTCCGACCTAGCATAAGGAGGGGGGTTGTTAGAAGGTTCCGCAGCATCCTTAAGCTTAACCAAGCGGCTGGAAATTGTCTGCGCCTGACCAGTCCCATCAAGCAGCAAAAAAATCGGCGCGAATTCGCTCGCCGTTAAAAGAAGACCAATCCGGACGATTTCGTTGTAGCAACTTCAGTAAATCATGAATCTCGTCCGACAACGGAGAAGTTCCGGAATGCACTGGAAAGCCAAAAAGAAAAACCAGCATTCAGATTCTAAAGGGTCAAAAGTAATATTAGCTATTAGGAATCGAAACTAACCTATATCGTTTGACCAACGCCGAGGAATCCTCTCAACGTCAAAATCACCTATCGACGAACGATCGACCTTGAAGACAAAGAACGTCTCTCTCCAATTCTTGTTGTGATATGGAACTCCCTGAATAACGTGGCATCCAACACGTGGCGACATAAGAAAAGTCCCCGGAGTTTTTTTGTTCCTCTTCAACAAACACAAGTGACAAAGCTCCGCCAGACCGAAGCGTAAACCCTCCTCACGAGATCTTACCACAAGTGCTACGAGGTGCCTCAAGAAATTCGGGCACATATGGGTAAGACATATGCCCAATTCAGCTGTGATTTCAAGAATTTGGGCAGGAATTGGGAAGAATAAGCCACACGTTTCGAAGAACGTGCGATACGCTCCACAGAACCCCTCTCGAATGGTCTCAGGGGTCTCGAGCGTAGTAGCCAACTCGAGCCGAACGCTCCGATCAACGCCATGAGACGAGTATAAAGCTTCGAGATCTTCAGTTTTAGTCGTTGGAAGAGGAAAAGTAAATGTTACTTCCATCTCTACTTAAGAAAAATAAAATCGTACGAACAAGAATATTTCGTGTAGAAAGAAAGAGAGCCCCAGTGAAAGAAAAGAAGTAAAGCAAAAAAGAAGGAACTCTTGTATTTATAAGGCAATTCGCCGACATAAAGAAACGGCTTTATCATTAAAGCAAGAAGCTAATGATTAGGTTTTTCATCGAAAAACGGCAGAAGTAGCCGTTAAGAGCACACGCCAACGGTCCATTAACAGGGAGCAGACACGTGTCGAGTCGCTGCACCGCGGAAGCCAAACCATCTTTAAACCGATTGAGTCCGAGCAAGCCATCTTAAACCTTTTAATAATAATAAAAATAAGATTGGGGGAAAAATGTTGGACTCAATTTCGGCACCTATCTGAACAGGCCCAGGACCATCTGGAGTGATCGCTGACTCGACGTCGAGCCGGACCCTACAAGGTCAAGGATGAGATTCCGGAAATCGCGGAGACGGTTAGAGGACAAAGAGGCTATAAAAAGAGAGCTAGGATAACATTTAGAAGACATGAGAAAAAACCCTAGAGCTTATCACTAATCACATCGACCTCATTCCTTAGATTTCTTGTTCTCTTTCTTGTAATCCTTGTTGTTATTTCCAATCTTGTTCATCACCTTATAAACGAATTCTACATTCAATAAAAGTCCATTTTTGTCAACCGAAGTCCGATTATATCGTTGTGTTTAAGAACATTGTTTCCCACATCCTTTGTCTTCCTCTGATTGAACTCTCAATCTCTACGAAATACTGAGTGTGGATTTTAGGATCTACTCTAATGATGAAGAGATTTAAGCTTCAAGAGGAGTAACTGCAAAAGATTCTTTAATAGGTTAATTCAAAATTCAGTGCACATGAGATGAATTAACAAGTCGACAAGGTGAAAGTGATGCAAGGAACCGGGAGGGAGAAGTTATATATTGTTCAACAGAAGCAGATTAAAGGAAAAGAAAGTGATATCAAAGAGTACTCAAGAGAAACAGAATATCACTGGGTCAGCAAATAAAGATGAATAAGGCTTTATTGTCTTTAGGTGGAGTTACTGTCCTAGAGACTGGACAAGACATAACAAGGGAAGCTCACCGGAGAAGTTGCAAAACCATATAGATGAAACTTAATCGTTTAAAAGGAGATGAGAATAAATCTGAACGACATACAGCTATCACAACAGTGAATTAGAAAGAGGTTGATACCTGAAGTTGGTGAAGAGAAGTCATTGAAGATGCAAATTGTAAATTTGCATTGAGACTTCACTATCAAAGGAAAATATCAAAGGGGTTTAAGTTTGGACAGCTGAATTGAACTGAATGGGGAAGAAAGCCATAGAGTATTGAAGATAAAAGGGTCTCACCAGAGAAAGCAGACATTTTTTATGTGGGAGAAAGAGAGTAACAAATCTCTCGGAGTTCTTAAGCTCAAGGTGGAGTAACTTGATCTCAGGTTGATGGCGAAGTATTGCAAGAGCAGCAGTCTCAGATCTAAGCTGACTTCAAGTAGCAACTGAGAATGATAGTGTGAGGAGTTACAGTCTCTAACCAGAATCGCCATGGATCCAATTTCACCAGAGCTGGAAGCAAAGCCACACAGGGACATTGACCGTCATATGTCAGGATTCCAAGACAACAAGGATCTTGGGTCAAAGTGGAGAACGTCGCAGATATAGCGATAGTCTGATCGAGAGATCAAAGGAGAGGAAGGAGTTACGAGCTTCTAAGACATGAAAAGGATCGGCGAGATGAAGTTTGGCCGGAAATTCGTGAAGACAAGGCACAAGGTGGAGATTTTAAAGGGATATTGGTTGGAATTTATTTGAGCTCGAGCAGTTGAGGTTACAACAGTGGCTAAGGTTGAGATGTTAGAGCTTGAAAAACTTCGGTAGAAGAAATATTCAGGTTCGTTGGTTTCAATGAAGAATGAGAGCTGACGTGAATTAGAATTAAGCCCAAGGTGGAGTTTGTGGTGATAATGAGCCTTAATTCTATTCTTCCTGGCCCATTCAAATCTGTCTAGCAAACAAAGGAGGTGGAACAGTCGATGTCATATTTCCTTTTCTACATAAAAGACAATTATCAAGACGAAAAGGAATTACAAGATAAAGTCGGCTACTGTTGAGTATGAAGCTTGGTTGATCATCCGATAGATCCGAGAGAAACCTTAGACACAAGGACAAAGGACAAAGAGAAAGAGTTAAGAGAAAGAGAGAAATCAAGAGTAGAAGAAACTAGGACAAGACATTGTTCGAATCATGTCTATGCGGGAGAGAGATTCTTTGATCTTTCTTATTCTTTGTTGTGTAGAGCGCTTAGAGCGTTTGTGTAAATCTTTTTGATTGATAGTGGATGTTGTGGGAAACGGTGCCCACCCGAGACATACTGAATTCGAGTTCGGGAACTCAATGATCAAATTCCATGTGCTATTTAGTTTAGCAATCAAACGATTAATAATTACTAACAAGTAGATTTATGGAAATCCGTAATAACTGTATTGAAAAGCAATAAAGTAGATGCTAAAATATCTCCGGCCTTGGGCCCAAATAGATGAAGCATGGGTTTTTGGTTCAAAGCCACGTTACTACATATATTAATTTTAGTCATTTTTGGTGTGGGCTTGTGGCTTTTAGAATCGTAGGACCGGCTCTGTCACGGACACTTCATGATTAAACCTAACATTCACGAGAAACTGAAATTTAAAACAAAACAAAAAAAGACCGGAGTGGACATCCTCTACTTGAACCTCTGATGCCCTAAACAAATTAATAATTTGAAACATCGGATAATTTTAAGTCAACGACTACTTGAAGCCATATCTATCTGTGCATTTGCCACTTCCGGTGTTCGCTGTTAAAGAATACCTTAATCAAAGTTAAAGACAAGTTGAGCATTTTCTGACCAAGAAAATACAATAACTTACATACGTTTCCCCACTACAGAACGGAGTATATAACACCTACATCTTAATCAAATTTAACTTCTATTGTGGAAAGACGAATCTATGACATGTCCGCACGATTTTAGGGGATTGTCTTGGTAACGTCTTTTGCTTAAAATACCGACTGCTCATACCTTTTCTTGACTTTCTTAATTTTGCTTGGAAAGCAAGAGCATATGGAGAGTCCCCATGGAATTTTGTTGGTCGCATTTATTGCAACTTTCGCGGTTATTCATCTTTCTCAAGCTGAAGATCAAGAAGGTATGTAACTATCTATATTTTGTTGAGATAAGTTAATAGAATTTTCACAGTAGAAAATCTACTATTACCTGAACTAAAATCTGCACGATGCATGTGGTTAAAAAAAGAGTAAAATATTGCACTTTTAGCACAACAATGATTATCTTGGATTACTATAACAAAAGAAAATCCAAATAATTATATGATAGATTAACACAGTTTGAAACGTCTCAAACTTGCAAGAGATTGTACGGTTTAAGAAAAAAAAATTTATATGGATTATGGAGCCATGGAAGGGAAATACCAATTACTTCTTTCTTTTGATAAATATGGACTACTGAGAAACAAATAAATTAGGCTACGTAACCACATATCCCTTCTAACAGAATTTTTTTTACAAAACCAAAGAAATTAATATTATTAACATAAAGCAACCAAGGTAATAATCTATTGGTAATCTTTTGGAGTTTGGTATATACTTATATTGATTCTAAATTCGCTTCTTTTTGAAAACTAAATTATCACTATTTTTAGATTTGGGTTTTGATTCAAGTGGTTAACATGGTGGGCCGTAATAGATGATTGGTCCACCTCTAACATTAGTCGAAATGCAAATTCAGATCATATAGTATTATACACTTTTTAGATAGCCTACTCTATAGTATGTAGCATTAAGTATGTTCTATCCGAGACCGACTAGATCAACCGATTAACAAAAAAAAATATAAAGTTTGTTTTTTAGAATAGAACAAACTTTAAACTTTATATCAATCTTCCCAAAAAAAATATAAAGTTTGTTACTTAGTAGTGGACTGAATAGAACACAAAAACTCTTAAGGTGAATATTAATTTAGAATAAAAAATAGTGAAATACTCGAGTATTTTAAGTGACTATTAATTTTTTTTTTTTGAAACTAACTATTAATTGATTATTGACCTATTGGATATCGTAATATATAGGGTTCATCAGTGTGGATTGTGGTTTACCCCCGAGTGAAGCGTCACCATATATCGAGCCAGATACTGGACTATGGTTCTCATCAGATTCGGACTTCATCCAAACTGGAAAGATTGGGAAGATTGATCCAAGTCTACGAAAGACCATAAAAACATACGTGACTCTGAGATACTTTCCAGATGGAATACGCAACTGTTACAATCTTAGTGTCAAGCAAGGGACAAATTATCTGATCAGAGTTACAGCTCTATATGGAAATTATGACGGTCTTAATATTACTCCTAAGTTTGACTTGTACGTTGGCCCTAACTTTTGGGTAACGATAGACCTAGAAAACATGATAAGCGGTCAAACCGAGGAAATCATTTACATCCCAAGATCAAATTCCTTGGATTTGTGTCTTGTTAAGACAGGCGCGACCACACCAATGATCTCATCCTTGGAACTCAGGCCGTTACCAAATAATATTTACATCACTGAATCTGGCTCACTGAAGCGTTTCAAGCGATACTATCTTACCAGTTCAAATGCCATTCTTTCGTAAGTCGCTTTAAAATGATATTAACAATTTTTTCCTCATTTGAGTTTACGTGGTTGATAAACAATTATACCATAAAAATTTGAATAACAGGTACCCAGATGACGTCAACGACAGAGTATGGGAACCAAAATTTGATCCAGAATGGAAGCATATTTCCACCACCCTCGAAGCAAATAACTCCAATGGTTTTCTTGTACCACATGATGTACTCAAGACCGCGGCTATACCTGCCAATGCTACTGCACGGTTCAAAATTACGAAGGAGCTTGATTTCCCTGACGACGAAATTTACTTGTACCTCCATTTCTCTGAAGTCCAGTCATTACAGATCAATGAATCTCGAGAGTTTGATATATTTTGGAATGGCCAGCCGTTTGATAACACGGTAAGCCCTAAATATCTGAAGACCACAACAATTAAGTCCACAACACCAGTTACTTGCAAAGGAGGAGTATGCAACTTAGAGTTGATAAGAACTACAAACTCTACTCTCCCACCTCTTCTCAATGCCATCGAAATTTACTCCAGCGTCAAATTCCACCAACTGGAAACAAATGAAAATGATGGTACGCTTACTACTCTTTCTTTTTTGTTTTTTTCCGACATGTTACGCTTACTACTCATGCAACATTCCATATATGCATTCCGACAAATATATATATATATACTTATTGTTGTACTATTGACAGTTTTTGCTATCCGAAAGATCAAAGCCAGATATGGATTGAATAGAATCACATGGCAAGGAGATCCATGTGTCCCTCAAAAATTTTTATGGGACAGTCTAAATTGCAACAGTACAGATACATCTAGACAACCAAGAATCACTTATTTGTGAGATCTTTATACAGCACAACATCTTTAGAATTGCAAGAAACATTTTCTATCTACATTACACTTTTTTTTTCTGTGAACAGGAATTTGACTTCCAGCGGGTTGAAAGGAACCATAGCAGCTGCAATTCAAAATCTTACCGATCTTGAAAAGTTGTAAGTATGATAGTTCGTATATCATAGAAAATAAATTCATCCATGTCAGTAACTTGATTCGTACAAACTTCAGGGACTTGTCAAATAACAACCTCACTGGAGAAATTCCCGGATTTCTGGCTAATATGAATTCTTTAATGCTCATGTAAGTTTCTATGGACTTACTCTATTGGTCATGTTCACCTAAATGTATAATTATTCTCTGGTTTAACAGAAACTTGAGCAAGAATAATCTGATTGGTTTCATCCCACAAGCCCTTCTTGATAGAGAAAGTGAAGGGCTAACGTTATTGTAAGAACGAACTCCACCCACACACATTTCCTTTTGAATCCTTCAAAACATGCATTTAGAATACTAACGTTCAATCATTTTTGGGGTAGTGTTGATGGAAAGCATCGTTGTTTATCTGGTTCATGTGTCACAGAGAAGAAATTTCCAGTAAAAACTGCTGCATTTGTTTCTTCGGCTACGGTCATGGTCATTATAGTGGTTCTTGTTCTCATTTTTGTAGTTAAGAAGAAAACATCATCAAATTCAGAAGGTATTAAACTCATATCATGATATTTATAACATTCTTATACTAAATGTTGGTTTTCACAGTCCTACCACCATCATCAATTAAGCCGAGTGTGAATGTTACATCCAATAATATATCTGAGATATCGATCAAGATGAAAAGGAAAAAATTTACTCACTCAGAGGTGATGGAGATGACAAAAGACTTGGAAAGACCACTTGGTGAAGGAGGTTTTGGCATTGTTTATCATGGTGTTATTAACGGCTCACAACAGGTAGCCATCAAAATACTTTCCCAATCATCAACACAAGGCTATAAAGAGTTCAAGGCAGAGGTAAGAAATTGTAGTTATTCTAATATGTTTAAACAAATGTGTTTCATGTATTCTTTCATTCTTGTACAGGTCGAACTATTGTTGAGAGTTCACCACATAAACTTGGTAAGCCTCGTCGGATACTGCGACGAACGAGAGCATTTGGCTCTTATATATGAATACATGTCCAATGGAGACTTAAAAGATCATTTATCAGGTGAAAATTTATGATATATAAATAACTTAAGGATTTTGTTAATATAGGGAAAATAACATGTTATTTGACAATTATAGGGAAACACGGTAGCTCTGTTCTGAAGTGGAATACCCGACTACAAATAGCCATCGATGCCGCACTAGGTTCGTACTATCTCATAATAATGCCATTCACTAGTCGTTTTAATTACATAATATTTCATGTTATCAATGGACTTAATTGTTTCAAATATAAATGGTGCAGAGTTCTTATTTTTTACTTTAAATAATGAAACATTTACTCTTTTGCATTGAAATACTATGTTCCAGTTTGATATAGTGACGAAGGCAAACAGCTTTAAAAATCTAATATTTGAATATTTTACTAAAATTATTCATACTATCTTACGATTTCTAGATATCATACAGAATTAAAAACGGAATTTACAATGTTTTTAGGACTAGAATACTTACATATTGGATGTCGGCCATCGATGGTGCATAGAGATGTCAAAAGTACAAATATATTGTTGGATGAGGGGTTCACTGCCAAACTTGCGGATTTTGGGCTTTCAAGGTCTTTCCAATTCGGAGATGAAGATCATGCTTCAACAGCCGTTGCTGGTACTCCTGGATATCTAGATCCCGAGTAAGTATTTTTATTCCACCTACAGTATGACATTAATATATGTATAACCATATTGTCTCAAAACAAAGTCTGAATAATAATGCGCATGAATGTAAAATTTGTGAGAACATTCATCTTCAACGTTTAAATGAATACAGAATACACATGTACCTTACTCTGTCTTTTGCGTTGCTAGATATTACAGAACGGGTCGATTGGCGGAAATGAGTGATGTTTATAGTTTTGGAATTGTATTATTGGAGATAATCACCAACCAACGCGTGCTCGACCAAACACGCGAAAAGATACACATAGCTGAATGGACAGCATTTATGCTCAATAGAGGAGATATTAATGGAATCATGGATCCTAACCTTCATGGTGATTACAACTCTCATTCTGCCTGGAGAGCTCTTGAATTGGCTATGTTGTGTGCAAATTCTTCTTCAGAAAAACGACCAAACATGTTTCAAGTTGTTATTGAGCTAAAAGAGTGTCTTGCTTCTGAAATCTCGATGAAAAGTAACGATCAAGACATGGACTCTCAAAGTTCTCCTGAAGTGAGTATGAGCTGTGACACCAAGGATGTGCCTAGCGCAAGATAGTATTTGCAAAGAATCGTTGTTTGCGTTGCTGGTATTTTCTTGTTGGAGTGACATCATAAAGGCAAAATGAGAGGAAAGATATAGCACTCTTTTGATCTAAGTGTATTTGAATGTATTGTTAGAAATTTTTTTTTCATAGTTATCTTCCCAGTTCCACATTAGTAGGCTACTTCTCCAGAAACGAAATCAGAGATAATAATGATGACGGATACTTAAAAACTAATGCAATAATATCCACTTGAAATTTGCTCTTGGAGAATTTTTTGCATGATAAATTAACGAGGAGTTTACCTTACTAAAATACTATTATGTTATTTTAATTATTTGTCTGATTTTGAATATATATAGATAGATAGATATTATCTCTTCTAAATAATAAGACAAAGAAAATAGTTTTTTATATAATGGTAACTAAATATATTTAAATATTTATTAATGTTATCGTTATAATTAACTGTGTAAAAATTAATATGAATACAACACGTATGAGACTGATTTTTTAGATAATATTATAAAAATATAATAGATATTTTATCTCACATTCTAAATTTTTAAAATTTTCAAGTTATGTTTCTCATAAGTTCACTACAAAATCCGATGAAAATGTGTACATCTATCTATATATCTATATATATATATATATACATATATATATATAATTGTTATCTCATTTCTGTCTCTGCCCCGTCATTAAATAAGAAATGAATGAAGTGACACGTGTCCAGAATCTAAACAAAGAAATACATTTGGTTTTGTAATGAGCTTTTAAGGCTTTGCATCACATTTATTAGGTTGCAATATATATAATCATAGTCCATTAGCCGTCTTCGTTTTCTTAACGTGTAGTCGCCATTAGAGAAGATGTGAAAGACGAGGCTTTGTGAGTACTCTTTGGATCGATATCGATTCGTCCCGTTTCATTATCGACTCTTCGCCTCACAAGCGTTTCATGTAGCATTGATTCAACCATGATCACTCCTTCAATGATTATTATCCTTTATCCAGGAGGAGATCTCAACTTATATAAAGAAGGTTAGATTTCATCTCTTTGAGACTCATTCTCGCTACTCTTAATAACAGTAGAAACCTTTTTCACATTTTTATCCGCATTTAGATCCAGTTTAGACATTGAAACCATATTACAGGAAGAGAAAGTTGATCCCATTTAGTAATGGGAAGAAGTCTCCAGCTTTGTTATCTCATACCATTTCCAATTCAAAAGTTTTTTTTATTTCACAATCTCTCTCTTTCCTCTGACAATAATTTTGTTAATGCTGTGTTGGTTGTTGCAAAAGATATGTGTGTCTAAACGCATAAACATTGGTGATTTTGGACTGACAGTAGAGGTTAGTCCAAGTTCATATTTATAGAGTATGTTGTTATAAGTTACTACAGAGTTGATTTCCTTTTTGTGTTGCAATGTCTCTTTCAGAACATCAATATACGGGTATTTTTTTACTTCAGTGACCCATACCCTTGCTGCCTTACTGACTCTAAAATCTCTGTTATGATAAGGAAAGAGCATCTGAGGTACTTCTACAGTCCTATGTGTACCAGCTCACGTTCTTTCAGGTAAATCAAAGAGTATTTTCTTCGACGCTATTGATGTTATTGTTCCTGTCTTGGTCAGTTTATTTAACTTTTTTTATAATGTTATATGTTTCTTTGCAATCTTTGTACCTTCTGGCTAGATAAAAGACTTTATCAATGTCCCTAGCTCTTGACTGATAGATATCCATAGTTTACATTTTATTCATTTTAAAGTTTCCAGTGGGCTCCATTGACTGAATTTTTACAGATTCACCCCCAAGTATGACCCGATATACTCCCTCTGAACAAGGCTACCAATGGGATATGGTGTTGTAGTCGGATTTTACGAATACTTTAAGTTGAGTAGCTATATGAACTGTAGCGGAGTGATCTGTGGCCAGTACATTTTTCTATACATCTGGAAAACCAACATGCTTGAGCCAAGGAAAAAGTGAGGCTAAAAAGAAAATCATATATATAATGAGGCACTTTTGTTTCTCCCTAAAGCTGTCCACATCAGCAATAGTGGGACCCACTTATATGTAAAAACGAATGGGCCTCGATATTATTTATAGGCAACCTGTTTTAACTCTATGCATTTTAATACATGGCCCATTTGACATTAACGCTTGACGTTATATCTATTTGTAATCATATATATAATGAGGCACTTTTGTTTCTCCCTAAAGCTGTCCACATCAGCAATAGTGGGACCCACTTATATGTAAAAACGAATGGACCTCGACATTATTTATAGGCAACCTGATTTAACTCTATGCATTTTAATACATGGCCCATTTGACATTAACGCTTGACGTTATATCTATTTGTAATCCCAAACAATTACTAAAGAAAGTTTTGTCGTTTCTCAACTTCATCTCCAAAGGTTAGCTAGGGTTTTTATCGGTTCACACGAATCAGACAAATACAGAGCGACCCTTGAGGTTTTCATCAACCTATCTTTACTCGAATCATCTTTAATGGTTAAATTTAAGAATAAAACATGTTTTATTCATACGCCTTTTTTCCATGTAGAACCTTTTGTATATATGATTTCCCTGATACGTTTTTGTTTTGGAAACACTCTGACTTGTGGAGGGAGCATGTATCTGAACTTCACACCAGCAACCATGTTCTACTTTGACCCCCAACTTCCTGAAACCAAAGAGTACGCTAGCAGGTAAAAACCAATTTTGTTGTATTCAACATCTGAAATGTTTGATTATGTAATGCTGCCATACGGACTCTATGCATATTGGGAGGTACATCATATGAGGCTTACACATGTGCTGAAACAAAGGAAGGGCGTAAAAAAGTTGTCTCAATTGGAGATCTCAACACCCTCATCGCCAACTCCAACGAGCATGTTTTAGGCTAACTCAGAACGTGCAGTGTTTGTTATACTTGACTTCAAATAGTAGCATAAATAGAAAATTGTCTTTTGTCTTATGCACCTGATGCAACATGAAGTAAGAAAAATCATGACTTCCCTTTGGTGCACCAAATATGTTAATCTTGACGTCAGATTTGCATTGTTTATTCTACCATTTATAAAAACAAACCTTCTTTTTTTTAATATTCAATAACCCTTGATTTCCTCTATATTTAAGGTTCCGTGTTGAGCTTGCTTTGTATGTTGGCAAAGATAGCGCTCTGTTTGTTCTGACAAGAAGAGAAGCTGTTGTTCTTGCGCTTGAGGAGGTATTTTTTATTTCTATCAATCAATACATTGAATGAGCGTTTTATTATTTAAAAGTCACTCTCAACGACCCTGAAACTACTAATCTATAACAGATACCAAACGGTGGAGAGGAGGAGATGCCGAGCTGTCTTGAAGACCTTGCTGGCGAGGAGTTTGTGTGTTAAAATCCATGTCACACCCAATCACCGTAGCTTCACTATCTCCACTATCACTAAAGATCTCATCATAGTCAAGCCAAGGTGGGGTAATCTTAGTGTTTAATATCTTTACATTCCAACTTAACTCAGCTAAATTTATCTTAGAGGGCCACAAACAACCCGCTTACACTCAGCGAAGGGGAGGGTGGATTATCCATAGCATATTCCAGCAACACAATTCTTGCGAGGAATGATTGACGAGATTTACATAATTAATCATGTTCTTAGCACATTGCATAAGTACATGTACAGAAAGAAACAACAGATGACTTAACATAGCATCACCATCGGCGCTGGAACATTCTTAATTTATTTGACGAAAACCAACCTAAATGATAACACTCAGACCTCTTCAACGCCCAACACGTCATTTCAAAGCTTAAGTAGTTATCCGGTTCATCATTATCATGTCTGGTTGACACACACGTTCCATTATATATATATATCTATAACATTATTTGAGAAGTAAATTTGCTTAGTTGTCAACTTCTCCATGATTTTAGGTTATTTTGCTTATTTTCATGTTTTAATAATTTATTATAAAATAAAAATGAATTTATGTTAATAATATTATATTTTTAGAAAATATGTTAATTATTTTGTATTAGATTGTTATCTTAAAAATATATTTTCAATTATAAAATTTAAGTGAATTTGCTGATTAATTTGTAACTTTCACGTTGAAAGTTAGAGCGGTTAATATCGTTTATATCCTTAATGAATAATTAAAAATTTTAATATAATTAAATATAAATAAAAAAGAATTTCAATGATTTTAGATTTATCTTTATCTAAAAATATTTTATATTGGGTTATAAAGTCTTTATTAACCTTGAAAAATAATTACATTAGTTAATATATAATTAATTATAAATTAAAAACGAATTTCATTTATTTGATAATTATCCTTATTTTAATTTTTTATATTATGGGATAAAGTCTTTATTTTGAAAAATAATTC